AAACAGGTCCAAATTTGACACTCCTTTTAGTTTCAGTTCTCTTTCAGTTGCCATGGGGAAGATTTTTTCAACTGAAACAGATTACTGAATTGCATTTAGTTGAGGAAAAGAGCGGCCTGATCCTTCGCGCAAATTGTCAGGTTGCTTTGGGCGACAAAAGTGCAAAATATTTAGCCAAGGGAGGCGTGAATTTGAGGGAGTTGCTAAGTGTAGCTAGAGTTTTGCATTCAGCACGTAGAAACGAAAGTGAGGCCCAGAATTGCTAAAGTATTCAAGTCAACAAGCTTACTTCTTTGTGAGCGTAATTTTGTGCATTTAGCACGCTCGCTTGGCTAAGCGTTATGGCTGAAGTGCGTCAGTTGTGAAGACCGGACATCGGCTCCACGTAATTGTTTGATGATAAATGCGTATTTTCAGGACATCGACACCACCTTCGAATGACAAAAAAGTGGAGACGAAAACGTTGGAATCAAATGTTGCCGAAAACGGGCCAGTTATGCTCACCGACAAAATTGTCTACAACATCGCAGGTTTTTCTTTTTCGCTCGCATTGATTCGGTGATCGAGTGACCATGTGGGACGAGTAACAGTTTGAGCACGGAGTAGAGCTTAAGGTGTTATCCGCTTCTATTATTGTGGGACAGGCCACCTTCACTGGCGTCGTCTACTTTATCGCACATCCCACAGTTTCAGATGCAAGAAATGGAATAGCACACTTGAGAAGAACACAGATAGTCATCACCAGTAACCGAATGAGAGCGGAAAAGCGCATTGTATTGGCCTCTACAGGATATAGTACATAATAAGGGGGATGTTACAATTTTACACTGGAAGCACTATTAAGAAGTGTATGCCATAAAAAAAAGCTGCGCAGAGCATGTGCCTGCAACGAGGTGTACAAAACGAACTACAAACATTGTTTGTACGACGTTAGAGGAGCACTGGGATGGTTACTACTTGTGAGACTGAATGCACTTGAATGGCTGATTGGGGTTATGTGGAGATGCGACGAGCTGAGGATGATAACATCACGAACTTTATGGTTAGACAAAAGAAACACAGTTAAGCAGCAGCTGCCCTTCTGAGTATCAACATAAAGCATTTTAGCTATGTGTGCATGCATAAAAGTGAGCAAATGTGCAACTCGCTGAGTAGGGCAATTACGAAAACATAACTTAGCCAATTTTTGGAGTGGTGAGAGGAGAAACGAGAGTTGCGATGCTCGTGGTGTGCTCGCACGGGTTACAGACAAATTTGAATTAGAACTTCAATTTCGACCTGAAAGGCCAAGGTGGGGATACGGGCGGGTGGGAGGGGAAGGACCGGGGATCCTGCTCGAAACAGATGGAAAAGAACATAGAGTATTGACTGGGATGGAGCCGGGATTTTGCTTAGAAGTCAGAATTAAAGACAGGAGTTGGGGATTGCAGGTCATATCGGTTCTCAGTGCCAGGCAAGAAATTGGATGCTTGTCAACTTTTTTTGCTTATGGTATATGCTTGGCATATACCGTAGTCGATGGGATTATAGAATTAAGATTCAGTTAATTGATGTAACACATAACGATGTTGCGAGCAACAAAACCAGACTGCAGCGGTTAAAAGCATGTCCGATGACCATGAGACAGCAAAAGAACTGTTAAGCCCGAGATATGCTTTGAAACCATTTTGCAAATGGAAAGAACCGTTGCACTTCTGTTTTTGATTTATTTGAGGACAACTTCTTTTTATTGAAGTTTTGGACTGAAGAAACAGTCATACAACTTGTACAACAATCGCACCGCGGTTTTCTCATTGCAAAATCTCGATGTAACAAAAAAGTCCAAAGCAGTGGCATACTTGCATGCGATTATAGTTTTGGCAACTTCCCCGCAAATCCGAAAACGAGTGCATTTTGCGTTGCCAAGCCGAGTTTCAGCACTTGCCGAGTGCGAGCGTATACTCAGCATGAAAGCATTACATAAATATCTCTGCTGAACTCACATCAATCATTCGTTGACTCTCGTAGCCCCTTTTTGTATATTTGTCTTATACTGGCGTCCATCTGTCGCATACTTTTTGTCCGAAGCTGTTTCGTCCGGCGATCATTGTGCTTATAA